TCTCTATAAACCTGGTCAAACTTATTGGGTAAGATGCAAATCTAAATGCATCATTATAGATGGTGAGGATGATGAAGTAAAGCTTCATATAAAGACGAGCATGGACAGATAAAAATTTGGTGGCATGCGGTAAAAAAATACTATTTTTGCCATAGAAGTGTTGAATAAAAGATGGGACAACAAATTTTCATCATGTTGCTAACTAAGCAATAAAAACATAAGGCTAATGCAAAACTTCATTGAATCACCTCTTTGGTGCACACTGAAGGACACAAACATAGCACTGCATCCAATACTCTGTAACACCAATGTTCATCCAGGGAAATGGGGGAGACGGTTGCAGATGCAGCGATGAAGGCACCCTGAACAAAGAAACACAGGAGTTTAAAACAGATGCCATCAAAAGGGTAAAAATCAAACTGATAGATTGTGCTATACCTTTCACTACGAAGGATCCCGTATGCCAATTGTTTGCAAAATGAGTAACCAGTCCTGTTGAAAACTCGCTCGTAATTTGATCTGATTACTTGAACTGCACATATCATCCTTTATGTTAGGAAGATTACCAGCAAGTGGAACAGCAAAAAAGCAACTGCAAGCTAGTGCCTCTGCAAGATGCATTCTATTGACAAAAAGTAAGCACACTATTGGTGATATGAACATAAAGCTAGGCTGCAAAATAGAACTATTCGAAAGTTGCGCAAGCTATGTATATTTTGGCTTCAGTTTGTTTTTTTCGAAAGCGTGCTTAGCACGTGCTTCATTAAGGGAAGTGGGAATCAAGGTACACAACCCGAAGCCCCGGTTGGCGAGTTGCCATAGGCGCGACGGGTAGAACACATACAAAGATCACCGGCTCGAACGGTGGAGCAGCAAGGTCGTAATGATGGCTAGACTAATTGTGCGACAGAGGGCTAGGGGAAGCCCGCTAGGCAGCAGGCGTGAAGAGCGGCGCGAAGCTCCGGAAGCCGGCCGCTATCCAATCGTTGGCTTCGTGACGGATAAGAGACACGAGCTCGGTCGGCGTCTTGCAGGAGGAGTCGAAGGTCCTTCTATTGTGTTCCTTCCAAACCTCCCAAGAAACAAGCAGCACCAAGGAGTCGAATCCCCGCCGGAAGGACTCGGGAACCCGCATCCGTTCCTGCTGCCACCAGTCGAGTAGAATGGACTCGTCGCTCGGGCAAAGATGCTGGAACCCGACACGCCACCAAGGTTCAGCGTGGCCATCAGCAGGTGACAGCTTCACAGTGACGGAGAAGCGGCGAACGCAGGAGCTGGAGACACTCCAGGTCTCGACGCCAGGAGGTTATCGCCCCTCCGCCACGCCGATCGCAGCAAACAAGCAAAATCAAAACCGGCTCCGAGAAGATCAGCGTTCATGGAGGCAGACAAGTTGGCGACTTTGGTTTCCTGAAGACAAACGATGGAAGCTCGCTGTTGCTCGGCGACGTCACGCACTACGTTGCGGCGCGCGCGGTTGTTCAGGCCGCGTGCATTCCAGACTAACAGGTGGTTCGTGCTTATTGTAGAACGCTGTTGTGACGTATACCACGGTGCTCGGCCAACCGCGCTATAGCTCCAGCCTCGCCATGGTCCTCGCCCAGCGTGCGCCGCGCATGGGGAAGATCTCGCGCAAGGCCGCCCTTTTCGAGGTAGAGACGGACCCACCGAAAGCTTCGTGGAATTGGGATGCAATCGAGTCGTCCGGCGTTCCCGTCGCCGTGTTGTCCGGACGCCGGCCCATTTGTTGAGCGGGACGTGACGCGCATCCGCTTCTCGGCTGCGGGTCACGGAAGGCCGACTTGGCAGCCAATCGGTCACTGCAACGCGGAATCCGATCATTGTCGACGTTTTGGCTGTCCGGTAGCGGTGGGGGTGCGGACAGGGCTCCACCGATGGCAGCTTTAGCGAGTCGATGAAGGAGGCAACCGAGGCAGAGTGCGTGGCGGTAGGGTAGGCTAACATGAACATATCGCCAGAGGCGGCAATGAGGTGGAGGTGTCACCACCGGTGGTTCTGTGTGAGGCGATATGTGGCAGGTGCACAAAGAACAGCACATCGGCCATAAGCGTCGCCACGGGCGGTGGTGTCGTCATCGCCTGGTGGTTCCTGTGAGGCGATACCGCTATTGGGAGTCTGGGCATCTGGGGCATCGTTGAGCATGTCCAAGCCGCGGTGCTCTCAGAGAGTAAGCAAAGACACTGTGCAAACCCGATTCTCTGCTGAAGCTGCAATTCAAAGATTTCATCAACGATTGAGGGTGAAGTAGGTGGTCGAAATACAGAGGGGCGCCTGTCCGGGAGCAAGCAGAGGTCTGCTGGCGGTGAGGAAGGGGTCGTCTCAGCTAGCGACACCAGCTGCACCGACCGTGGGGCCTCGAGAAGAGACAGGTCTGAGCCCAAAAGGGATCCCAGGAAGCCGTGTTGCGGCTCAACCGTAGGTCCGCCGCCGAGGAGATGGGCGTCATCACAGAAGTCATGAAGCAACGGGTTGGAGGAGATATTGGCCGCCGGTGTCCGAGAGTGCTCTGCGTGGTCCAACAGGAGTGGCACGGGCTCCTGGTCGGCCGAGTATCCGGCAGTGTGTGCTGCGGATAGGGCCGGTTGCGTCTGTGGTGAGGGGGGCCGGACCAGCGAGCGGGGTCCGACCACAACCCGTTCGAAGGAGACAAGCGGACATCTGATGGAGCCGACGGTGATGCACTGTCGCGGCATGAAGGTGGTCTCGCGTCGCCCACCAAGACGTGGAGCATCATCATTGGCGTCAGTGAACCTGCGTAAACGAGGTCCGCGCGTATAGTCATCACCTCGGTCCATGCCGGGGTGCCGTCGGTTGAAGTTGCTGTCATCCGAGTCGTCGTCGTCCGGGTCGCCGCCAGCGAGCCCCCCCCCTCCGAAGAGGGTGGCGGCGTGTTCCAGTCTTGGCATTCGATGATGCGAAGGCGTACCCGATAGCGTAGCCTCGGAAAGCCATGGAGGACGGACTCGTCCGCGCGGAGGTCGAGCGCATCACCAGGGACGCGAGCCCCAGGCTCCAGGATGAAGATGGACTCCTCGTCTGAGATGAGCCGCGGGTGTAGGCACCAGGCAACAACAAAGAACTCACGGTCGTCGTCCACTAGGGCCACCTCCGGTGGTGCGGGCACAATCCGGGCGCACCCCCGGCCCAGAATTGTCTGTGCCACCGCGGCAGAGCGAGCGTGAAGGGGAACGTGCGTCATGCCCACCAGAACTCTGTAGCGGAAGGAGCTGGCGGACGCGAGTGAGGTCCGCCTCCACCGGTGCCAGATGAGGTGGAAGGGGGGGTTGGGCACCCTGGTGTACAACACCGCTTCCAAATCCTAGAGACGTGAGAATCTGACGATGAAGTCCTCCGGTGGCATCAACGATTCCGAGGTAAGTTGCAAAATAGTCGCGCATCATCGCAGGGGACACTTGCGGCCTAGTGCCGGCAATGACGGCGACCAGAGCCAGGCCGAGGTCACGCTCTGCGGCCTCTAGCTCCATGGAGCGAGGCACGACGATGAGGCCAGAGTGGCGTCTTCCATCGCTTGCTGACCGTCCTGGAATACTGTCATCAGTGATGGGTTCCTGGGCAGGGGGCGGCTCTGGCACTGAATTGTTCGGAGTCGGCGGAGCACAGCAGTGGGGGACCGATGTCGACCTGCCGGTGGAAACCGACCGGGCGGAGATCGTGTCGTCGGAGTGCGCCGGTCGTTCTTGCCTAGTCGGCCGTCGCCTCGCCGTGCCACGGCGGGGAGCACCGTCGGAGGACCGGCGTCGCTTCCGGGCACCCAAGGGGGGGGGGGACGGACAATCCCGCAACCCATGGCACGCGCTGCCACAGTTGCGGCATTTGGGAGTCACAGCCTCTTCCGTGGAGCGTCTTCCGGATGATTTGGTGCCCGTCATTGGAGGGAAGGGGCAGTCACACTGTCGGTGGCATTCGCTGCCGCAATTGAGGCACCTGGTGGGCGAAGAGCAGGGTGCTCTGAGGTGATGCCTGCTTCCGCAGTTGAAGCATTTGCCGTTGAGGTGGGTTGGCACCGGTCTCGGTTGGCGTGGTGGTGTGCGCCGGCGCCATCGTCGGCGGCTCTGGACCTGGAAGTAGCCATCAGTGTCCGTAGCCCCGGAGGCGCGCGGCGGGTGGGCGGCCGTTGAGCGAGTTCGGCGGCGGGCGTCATCCACGCCACGTTGGCCCCGAGAGGTCAGCGGGGGACCTTCCATCGGGGGGTGGGCGCGGCAGGCGGCGGCCATGAACTCGCCAGCGATTCGACGCCGGCGTCGGCGGCGCCCCCCGGCCGGCGCGGGCTCCTTTCCCTTGCCCGCCGGCGGCGGCGAGTCCGGCTCAGATCCGTCAGAGGCCTCAGAGTCGGTGAAGGAGAGCCTCGCGCCGTAGCTCCCAGAGGTAGGGGAGAAGGGCTCAACGTTGGGGTTGATGCCGGGGAAGTTGGGTCCGGACCGCGCGGTGCTGCCAAAGAAGGGCGTCGCGTTGGGGCTGAGGCCGGCCGCGGCGGCGGGCCCCTCTTCTTCCACCTCATCAGCCCAAGAGCGCCGTGAAGAGGACCCAGGCTCCATGGCAAGAAGTGGATCTGCAGGGGGGAAGCCGAGATCTGGCGGCGGCCGCCTCAGCGGGCAGGGGCGCGGCGGCCAGCTGCCCCGCGGTGGAGTAGATCTGGGCGGAGGAAACTGTAGGCACGAGCTTCGCACCTGGTGGAGGGGAGATGGAGGGGGCGCCGTCACCGGAGGGGAGCATCGCCGTAGGGGGCCGCCGCCAGAGGGGAGCCGAGTTGTGGCTCGCGTTTGTATATCGACAGTAGCAGTGAAACTCACTAGTTTGTCCTTGGCTTCAGTTTGTTGTAAACTACACGTCTTAACATATATATGATTCAAATAAACAGAAACTAGGCATGTAGAACGACATGGACATGTTGCTGCTGACATTTATTGTAAAATTAGGTATCCAACAAAGAATGTATCAACCATTCAACTAGGAATGGTCTAAGCAAAAGTCAAGAGAAACATTTTACCCAGAGTGGCATAGCTGCAATGAAGTTCTGAAACTAATGATTCTGATAGTTTGTCGATTAGATCCTCCTTTCTCCTTTCATTGCAACATCCGATTGGATGGGCTGATAGGTTGCCATCTTCAGAAGTATGTCCACTTGATGGCACATGAAGGAAAAATAATCCAGCAGGAAATCTGTGCCTCCTCATCACCCATAGAGTTAACTCAGCATAAGGAGTGGATTGGATTACAGCGATGACAATTTCCAGCATCACACACACCCAGATAACCGTTGTTGTCAAGATAGAGAAGAATACATAGAATACAGAAGTTGTAGGTATAAGAAGTAGGACTGATGTAAACAGCAGGGAACCAACCACGTGCTGTTCAACTGCGTAGTCATAACTATCTAACCTCTGCCTAAGAGGATTCCATTTGCGCCCTCTGTTATGGCATAAGCAAGTGTTAGTAAACTTACGAAGCAAATATGAAAAAAATCTGACAGGAAACAAACACCTCGCCATCAGTTGCTATTGTAACAATTTAACAATATTTATATCATATTAAATATAAATCCATTGAAGAATTACAGGCGATAAAAATGATAAGAAAGAAACAATATTAAAAAAAATAGCTAATGTTTTATGGTGCAAACATTATGCTTTTACACACATTAAGTTATCTGGCTCCATTAGTAGCTTCTTTACATGAAGAGAAGTGAAAACTAATCATAGTCAAACTTATCCTTCTTGGCATAGTTGTACTCTGGCAAAGAAAATCTGGAATTTATAGTCAGATATTTTATTTCCAACATAGAGCAACTGCAGCCGATACTCAGGGCCCCTTGCACGGAGTCACACCAGCAGACGTGCATGCTGGGCAAAGAGTGTATGGAACTACTAGATCTCGGTGGTGCCAAGCACTGTCAAGCACCATCTTCTCGTAGACAAAGTGGAGGATTTGGCAGAGATCCATTTTGACATTAGCCATCTTGCGCTGCAGGCAGGCCATGGCCTCCTGGCAGTGCTGGACATTGAGGGGCTCCTTAACCTCGGCCCACAGTGCCAATGCTGTGGACTGCCACCACCTCCGTCTCCAAGTCCTCCAGCCACACTGTGCAGTCCTCCTCGTGATTCCCTTCTCCGTGCTTCATCTGAACCCCATTTACATTGATACCCTCACAGACCATGCCGGAATCGAGGATGCCACTACTGCCGTCACGTATTAGTGCCGCTACGGTGCTACCGACCTCTCCTTCGAACCACCAGCCCAGAGCCTCCCCCTGCCAATCATCAGCATGGCGAGCCATGAGTCGCTGGCTGCCGTAGGGGTCGACATCACTGCCAGTGAGTGCAGCCATGGTCAATCTGTTTGACCAACCCGTTCTCAATGCTCAAGTTTCAGTGCAACGACCAAATAGCAAAATCTTTCCCTTATCCATCAGCTCAAAATGGAGCGGAGAACAGCCTGCAGTCTTGAGGGAGGTAACAGAGTGCTAGAATTTGAAAAGGACTCATTCTCTGCCTTGTATTTTACAGAACACCAATATTCTGATGGCAATATCCAAAGTGATTATCTTTTGATGCTATGGAACCAATTTTCCCATTCCTATTCCTAAATTCACGGAAGTTGTCTCGTTAGTTGGGGAAATTGATCTAAGGCAGGGGCCCTCATGTTTAGGATTTTAGTCAAAGCTGTGCCTTCACTTTTCCATGTACACATGGCAGTTCCCTCAACCCGAACCTTTTTGTTTCCCAAACTAGCTCAGCTCTGTGTCATGTTAAGGATTTAAGAACCACAAAATTAGGTATATTCAAACCCCTCATGTTTCTGTATCAATAAAATAATACAGTCAGACAAGCGCCAAAATTCAAATAGACAAAGATGCATTTGGTTCCATTTATTTCGTATAAGTCAATCAAACATATTTTTGTCCAAGTCAAACTGCAGAGAAAAAGGTGATATCAGAGCTAATGTTTAGCAATTGATCAACTCGTCAGTCATTCAGTAATAAACATATGTTGCAGTTAGTACCCTCTTATTCGACAAGTACCACATGAGTGCACCAAGAGTATGTTGCCTGAAAAGACGCCACAATGATGCTACTGTCTGAATTTGTCCTGAATATAGCGATGAGATTAACCAGTGAAGCACGGTAACATGCAACGTAGCAAGCTGGATAATGTCAATAAAGAATGAAACTGGAGCTGTCAGACCTAAAATAATTCCAGAGACTGCAATGCCTTGAATTATATGCCTCAGGTAGCCTCCCACAAAGAACCAAAGGATAGAGTAAATTTGAACTGCATTAAGAGAAATCATGCCTAAGAGCTCTGCTAACTCTGTATTCAGCTTAAAACCAGCTGGAACACCCATCAGACACACACAACCGGATCTCAAGATTGCTTCTGTCATGTGGTGGACGAGAGCAATAGTCCAAATACAAATAGTCTCTGTATTTAACAAGAATGCTGCTCCAAGGACAAAACCCATCAGGAGATCCACAATGATACTTGACCACAAAGCATGCTTCCGAATTGCAGCTTTGTGTACATATTCAACATTCACAGTGGAGCTGAGCCGATAATAAAAGTGAAGCTTAGTATTTTCAATAATCTGCACTTGAGTATATGATAACTAATATGTACTGAATGTAAACGCACTTCAATATTCATAATACAAAGATTACATGAAACAACAAAATGGAAGTGAACCAGTAAACTCTCTTTTGCATATTAAAATAACCGTGTCAGATTAGTAATAACAGAATCACCATGTTATTGCCTTGGTATATGTTAACTTATAAGGATAACACAAATTGTTATGCCAATATGACACAACAGATATTAAAACCGCGACTACAGTTACAGTGCAGATTAAGAAGCTACGGATCCACTATTAATTTACCTTAGGGAAGCATCTTGGAGGACAATTGGCCAGTAGAGAATTTGACAGCTGCGAAGATGAATGTTATTCCATGAATGTCTGAAAACCTTATTTAGCATCAAGTACTGGGGCATATGGCATAAACATTTCCAGAACATTAGAATCATGATGTAGAGAATAGTTGATGCTGAAGCCAAAAATATCCCCACACAGTGCCATGTTACTTGAACTAAGACATCGTATCTGAATAAGCAAGTAAGAAGGTAAGAGCAGACAAAAGGAGCAGAGTGGAGGAGGTTAACAATAGTGCGTACACAGATGCAAAGATGAAATAAGCTCCAGAGCTCGTGGTAGAACATTCCTGAGTGTCTGGCAGTCTAGCTGCATTTGAACAATTAAGCGCCAAAACAATTGAATCCTTCAAACAAACATGAACTGACTTAATAGACCATCTAACCAAAAAAGGAATAAATAACATGCAAAACCACTCATGCACATACCAAATCAAGAAATGCTGGTTGCTTTTGTAGATCATTTATCCAATTTGTTTTTTTGAAAGAAACATTCAACTTGCGAGGTGCATCCAAACCCAGTGAGAAATGGTTTCTGCCAATGGTCGGAACCTCATATGGTATGACCTAGAATAAATTGAATAAAATATCTCATCAATTTGTCAGAGCAAAAGGAAGAATAACTAAAGAGTCGTAAAAACGTGACAGTTCAAAAAAATGTTAATACAAGGATATTATAAGCAGAGCCTTGACTTACATACGTGGCAACGATTGTTTTCAATCTGTTGGCCATCAAGATACAAATGGTGAAGAACTGGAACTTGATTCAGGTTGCTCTTAAAGTTCTTTCCAAACTTCCAATACAAGTGCACCCAACTTCCCTCTTTGACTGCAGACTTTCTGCAAGCATCCAGAAAACCATCCAACACACAACAATCACATCCCCATCTTCTATGGTCATAACTTGGACCCTGATCCCCATTCCCAACTGATCCAATCATGGCATTGTTTCTTCTTGTACCAAAATGTTCTTTCTGAACAAAGTTTGCATCCAAGGGCAGCTGCTCTAATTTATTAAAGCAGTATTCTTCTAACTCTGTAGGGGGGTGTCGGCCACAATCCCCGAGAATGGTAAATGCAGCATATTCTTGCAGGCTTACCGGCATCCTTTTATTTGAGGAAAGGACGATGGTCTGCATGAGAGACAACATTGACAGAAGAAGCTGTGAAAAATATAAGCAGCCAAGATAAACATACTCTAGCAGCAGGTTTTGTTTTCTTTTGGAGAATTTTAGCAGCTACATCAGTAGATGGGCAAAAAAAACAGAGGTTCTGCCTTTCAACATGCATGTTGCAAAATTAAACGAAACAGATAAACATAACATGATTTCAGCAGTAGATTATTGGAGTTCCCCAAGCAAGGAAAAAGGACAAGGCAGATCTTTCAACATAGCAAAGCAAACTCTGGAATTGATGAGATGGGCCTCAAAACAAAATCTTTAACAACTCAAGAAAAAATTAATTAAGTACAAATGCATGGTAAAGATAGGACCAATTAAAAAAATGCTATGTGCTCAGCACCGCCTAAGCACCACTGCACCAGAGTTCGTGGAGGAAGCAGGGGAGGACCAGAGGAGAGGAAGGAGGAAGGTGACTAGGTGAGAACAAAGAAGAGTGAATGAGGGGATGTAGGATGAAAAGGAAAGACCATGACAAGGAGGACACAAGACCACTTGGCCCTGGGAACAACTTAAGCTCTCTTTGGCACGGCTCATCCAAAACGGCTTCACCGGTGAAGCCAAAGCCGGTGAACCAAGAAAACTGGTTTTTCCCGGCTTCTAGTTCATTTTAACCCCGGCTTACAAAACGGCTTCACGCTACAGTGCCTCGATTTACGCAAAATAGATGAAGCCGGCATAAGGCGTGCCAAAGAGGCCCTTGGCACGGCTTATGCCAGCTTCGGCTTCATTTATTTTACGCAAATCGAGGCACTGTAGCGTGAAGCCGTTTTGTAAGCCAGGATTAAAATGAACTAGAAGCCGGGAAAAACCAGTTTTTCTGGCTTCACCGGCTTTGGCTTCACCAGTAAAGCCGTTTTGGATGAGCCGTGTCAAAGGGGCTTTAAGCATCCAAACCCCAAGCCTACAATCTTTTTTTTACGGCAAAAGACTGTAGGGGAGATCCCCACAGTGAGAAGCCTACAATCTCTTGCCCTTCACTGTTCCCATCCACCACCACTAAAGTTACCATCACCACCCCTGCAGTCCTGCCTTCCAGCTTCTGACAACAATGTCATTCCACCTTCCCTCCCCCTCTTCCCATGTCTCTTAGATCGCTGGTGGATGTGATATTGACAAACTGAAGTCAGTAAACAAGCCACACAAATATATGCCTTCCATTATAAAAAGGCCAGAAGATTTGAGGATGCGACCAACAAAAGCAGATAACCAGCACTTCCATAAGGAAAAGCTATCACCAGAAGAAGCGGCTAACTAGTATTTGCATGAGTAAAAGTTATCACCAGTAAAGGTAGCTAACTCTCACTTGCTAAAATTATTTTAGTGTTAGAGCTTCAACATTTTTTCATGCTAGAATAAGGAACCAAAATTCTGCTGAAAAACACAAGCTTGGAGGATTTGATTTATGCATGTTAAAAATAAAATTAAAAAAACATACAGGACAGGCAGGAGTCCACAGCCCTTCGATTCCTAAGCCACTTAATTCCCTAACCCCTCCCATACCTCGAGCTGTTGTGAATCACAGCTCTTTGTTCTTTAACAGCAAATCAACAAATATAACAAAGATGTTGAGGACAGAGAGTTCCCATGTTCCCTCGTCTCGTCCCTCACGAGAGCGAGAGCGAAGGCGACCCGAGGCCCCGCCACCTCCACCACCACCTCCCCCACCCCCACCACCACCCCCACCAGCTGCCCGTCCTCTCAACCGTGGGCCGCCGGAGCCGCCCGCTCGATGTCATCGTGATGCCCCCGGCCGCTCTGCCCGCCTCCGCCGCCTTGCCGAGACACCTGCTCCAACCCGCATCGACTTCTAGAACCAGCTGCTCGCGGACTTCCATGACACGGTGGTCCCGAACCTCCTTGCTCCTTCCTCGCTCACGACGCCTATCTGGGTAACGCCCCAATCCCGTGATCCCGTTTCAATGGCTTTTTTCATCAAGAATGCGTTGCATCACCGCTAGTCCCCGGTCCGGGTCGCTTTAGTGTGTTCCGCGTTGCATTTGGTGTGTTCAAGGTCATCGTGTCTAGTCGTAACATTGCGAATATCTTGGTTGTCCGTGGAGTCTGTCGGCGTCGAGGGAGTGTGCCTCAATTCTCAACTACCGCGCTCTTATCTCCAAAGGCTACGTACTCTAACTCCCTCCTCCCTAGCCTGTGGCTTGCAAAACCCTAAAACCCCTTTCTCCCACAACGGCTTGTTTTTTGCTTGGCTTCCGACCACTTTGTGCAGGATTGCCACGATCCGATTCATTGCTGAGCCCGTTGTCGCCCGATTCGACCATCGGAGCCCGGAGTGCAAGATGTCGTTCACCGCCTCTTTCAGGCCTCCATGCGCCGCCGCCCACCGCCCACCGTCCGCACCCACCACCACCACTCCGTGCGTCTTTGTGCGTTCGCTGGCTAGCTCGCCCGCTTGCCGGCCTCCACGCCGCCTTCACCACCTCCTTCCTCGCCTGAGCTCGCACCTCCCTCGCCGAACTCTGCGCCCACGCTCGAGTTTACCTTCCCGCCCACCACCGCTTTGTTGGCCCACGGGATCACCGTCTGACGATAGTGAACTAGTCTCCAGACCACTAGTCTCCCAGACCAGACCACTAGTCTCCTAGACCACTAGTCTCCCAGACCACTATACCGGTTGTGTCTGTACCCACACACTATGGATCGAGCTAGAAGAAGAAGGGAGAACAGAGCAAGCACGCACAATACAAGGCAACAACGTTGGCCGAGGCCCTGTCTGTGTGATGGCAAATCTGAGCTCTCTTTACTGAGTTACCTTGGTGCCCTATTTATACAACTCTATCTATCTAACTAAAGTACAACGCACATGTCAGAATAAAGAACTAGATAAGTATCTGTGGCTGACTCTGCGCAGCCATTGCATGTGCCTACAAAGGTCTGCAGGTGAGCCATGCGGCCTTTGCACCTCTGGCTGACTCTTGTCAGACATAAAGAGGGGCAAAGTCGGCGCCGCCTTCCTCTGCTGTGTTTCACACAAGGTGGCAGTAGATTAGCTAACACGCTTACAACCCTGCCAACATGGTAGCCTCCAGCTCCGTCGGGCCGGCCGTGGAGGTCCTCAGCACCCGGTCACTCCAGCCTCTTGTGTTGTCGTCCTCCGTCCCTGCTGCAACGCCCAAGCCGTAGTTCGTGGACAAGTTAGTCATTGGCTGTGGGGGTGGGGAGGCGGCCGGGGGTGCGGTCGTCACCTCCTCTGGCTCGCCCTCTCTGGGATCCTCCATGAAGCGACTAACGTAGCCCACGGCGAACGCAATGTCCGGCCTTGTGTGGACTAGGTAGCGTAGACCGCCGACGATGCTCCGGTAGAGTGTTGCATCTACTTTCGCCGCGGTGCTGTCCTTCGTCAGCTTCAGCCGCTCCTCCATCGGAGTCACGCATGGCTTGCACTCCACCATGCCGCTCCTCTCCAATAGCTTGGAGGCATACGCGCTTTGCCCGAGCGTGAGTTCCTCCTTCCCCTGTCTCACCTCGATGCCGAGGTAGTAGGAGAGAGCGCCGAGATCGCTCATTCGAAAACGAGCTGCCATCTCTCGCTTGAAGCTGTTGATATCCTCCGTGCGCGCGCCGGTGACGATTAAGTCATCCACATACACGTCGACCATGAGTTCTTCCTTCCCCCATCGTCGCGTGTAGAGCGCGTGCTCGGTTGCGCACCTCTGAAACCCAAGCTCGCCCAGCGTGGTGTCAAGCTTGGCGTTCCATGCTCGAGGGGCTTGCCTCAGCCCGTAGAGCGCTTTGCGCAGTCGAAGCACCCTGTGCTCCTCTCCCTTGACAGCGAACCCTGGAGGTTGCCTGACGAAGACCGTTTCCGCCAGCTCGCCGTTGAGGAAGGCCGATTTAATGTCCAAGTGATGGACGCGCCAGTCCTTTGCTGCCGCCAAAGCAAGTAGCAAACGGACCGACTCCACGCGCGCCATCTTGGTGCAAAGACCTCTCGAAATCGATGCCCTCATGGCTGGACAAAGCCTCGGGCGACGAGGCGTGCCTTTGTACTTGACAATGGAGCCGAGCTCGTCCCTTTTGACTTTGTATACCCACTTCAGCTGATGGGGCGGCATCACGGGGTGGATCGACGAAAGCCGCCAAGTCTCGTTTTCCTCGATCGCCTTCATCTCCTCCAAAGCATTGCCCGTCGCCGATTTCCATCGTGTTTCGGCTAGCGCGAACATGGGTGGTTCCTCTGCGATGAGTAGTAGCGACTCTCACGTCGTTGAGCAGCCTACCCGCCTGACACTGAGGGACTGTGCGCCGACGATGTCGCCCCGGTGCGGAACCTCAACTCCTCACCTTTGTGGTAGGCGTCCACGAACTCGGTGATGTCTCTTGGAGGTGAGGTGAACTTGATCGGAGGTGATGGAGTTCCTTCTTCCACCGAGTGCCCCGTGATAGTGCTCAAGTGTTTATACGCATCGCTCGATCGCTTCGTCATAACTCCTGCGGTGTTCACCACACCGTAGGAGTGCCCACCTCGATCTTGGAGTGGTCGGAACCACAAGAAGAGCGTCTTGGCTCCGCCACGGAGTGCTTCGGCACCCGTCCCGAAGTGGTCGCCACCTGCGCAGAACCTCCTGGCTCCACTCTGGCGTGCTCGGCATCCCTCCGTAAGCGCTTTCGACACTCTTCCCGGAGTGCTCAAGATCCCTCCTGAAGTGCTCAGCCTTTGCCCTGAAGTGCTCGACTCTACCGCTGGAGTGCTCGCTCAAGGCCCTCCCGGCGCGTGACACCTGTTCGCAGCGTCTCCACCGCCGTGGATGACCAAGTGCTCGACGACGAAGGTGTTGGTGAAGCCTCCCGCTTCCCCCGTGCTCGGACTATGCTAGTCCTAAGATGCCTCCTCATTGAACACAATGTCGCGCGAGACAGTCACCTTGTCTCCATGTGGGTCATAGAGCCGGTACGCCTTGGTACCCTCCGCGTAGCCCAGGAACACCATGGGT